TTTATATCTATAAATAAAAATAAAAATTATTATTTAATTTAAGAATTTCAAAATTATATATTTTTAAATCAAAATGATAAATTTTAGTATTTTCATTTAAATATTTTATTTAAAATGGAATGAATAGTGATTAATTTTAAAAAATAAGAAATTATTGTTTTTTTTATAGATAACCTTTAAATGTTAAAAAAAACAAAAAATAATAATAAAAAGAACCGTTGACCACCATATAGGAATTACTCCTAAAGACAAAGGATGATATAAATTAATCAAATTCACATGTATTTCTTTTTCTAAAAGCCCAATGGGTGCATCTTTCGTAACTTAAAACTTCACCAACACATTTTACCCTTATTCCCCAACCTATCTCTCTCTCGTGTAACCCGTTGACTTTTTATGCCGTTAGAACCCCACAAATCACATTTTTATTCTCTCAATTCCCGTGGCTTTACCGAACAACAACTCCTCCGACCGATTCCAATCGATCTCCATTTTCCCGTTTCTTTCTTCTAGCTAGGAGATGAACTCCAATACCACCAATTCAGACTCCGGTGGAGGCTTCGGCAACAATATAGGCAGTTTTGGCTACGGCGTTGGAGTTTCTGTTGGGATCTTGTTGCTCATCACAACCATCACCTTGGCGTCCTATTTCTGTACCACCAGGACCCCACCACCGCAATCTCAGTCGACCCGGAGGAGGAGTAGATTAACCTCTCCTGGTGATCGCCACGGCCGAGAGCCTCCCGATGATGATGATCCGCATAGCTATGTTGTCGATGTGGGACTCGAGGACGATGTCATAAAGAGTTACCCGACGCTGCTGTACTCCGAGGCAAACCTTCCGAAAAAAGATTCCGTTGCCACGTGCTGCTCTATATGCTTGGCGGATTACAAGAGTTCGGATAAGCTGAGGATGTTGCCGGACTGCAATCACCTCTTCCACCTAAAGTGTATTGACCCGTGGCTGAGGTTGCACCCCACCTGTCCCCTTTGCCGGACGTCGCCGCTTCCAACTCCTCTCTCGACGCCGCTAGCTGAGGTGGTTCCCTTGGCTAGCCGGCGGGATTGACGGTCAATCTCTTTCTGCATTCTTCGGTCAGATGTAAATTAAATTTTTCACATGTTACTGTAATTGACTAGTTGGAGGCTTGGAGCTCTTTCTATAAATTCTTTTTCTACATTTTTTTTAGTATGAAAATTGGAATCGTAATTAATTGTAACATTAATTTTGTGATTGATATATAGGGGCGACCAATAAAATTAAAGAAATGGAGAAGATGATTTGTTTTAAATTCCAATAATTTATTTGCACAAAATATTCCAAAAGTAAAATGCATAATTCATCCTCACATGTTCATAAATGCATATCTCTAGCCCCCTAAATGTTAAAATAGTTAGAGCTCTCGTGAGTCCTGATGAATTGGGGAGGTTTTAGTTTCCAATTTTTGTTAAGCCTATATTATTAGTTTGACATTTGAACTTTTTATTGATCTGAACGTGAAGCAGGTATGCTAATTGGAAAATTTTCACATTGAAAAAAAAAATGTATTATTTATATATAAGATGAATTATTCAACTAAGTAATCATTTGATAAAAATAAAAGTAAGAATAAAAAAAGGAACTTCACTTATTAATCAATTGATTTTAAATTCAACACTAACTTTATATTTTGACCCATAGCCAATTTTCATGACTTTGAGACAAATGCAAAAGGGAATTTGAGAAAGTGGAGAAATATGTTTCTCAAGTAAAACAAGATAGGAGAAGAATAAATGTAATCTGCCGATGTACAAGTTTGGCATGTTTTGCTCATTCTTTAGTACGTGTTGGGACGGCAGCATTTCTCAAAATGATTTTTTTTTTTCAGGAGACTTGCCATTTGGATGGTTTCATGTGCATTCTAATTAATTAAAAGCATAATTTTTGCAGGCTTTTTCGGTAGATCTAGAATTTCCTATGCTAATATATTATGGAAAGGAACTAAGCTTAAGGAATGGATGCATTGAATAATAAACTCGTCAGATGTAAAAATTATTTGTTTGTCGGGTGTTTACAGGAAGCCATGAATCCTGGATGCCCCTTTTAGGGTGCATGGTTAATTTTTTGTCTTCCATGCTCTTTTGGTTCTTTTTATTGTGTTGAAGATATTGGGAATCTCTTTGATTAAAATGGATACGTTTTGTAGGCCCCAAAAAGCTATCTCACTCTTTTATTATATTTGGATGGAAATTATTATATTTGGATGGAAATGAATCAAGGATAGATAGAGAAAAGTTTTTTAATTAATTAAATTATAATATAAAAATTTTCTTTTCTTTCTCTTTTTTTATTTTCTTCAAATTAAGTATACTATTAATGAGTTAAGAATTTAAAAATCTTGAATTTAAATTTTAAAACAGATAAAAAAATTAAGAAAAAGAAATAAGTAACTCTTATTGTATAATTATTCATCTTATATACCAAAAAATCAAGGTTGTTTGTGAGATCTTTCTTCTTTTAGGTGGTGTCCTTTTAGTCATATTTTACTGATATTTGAATTTTTTTTTTTATAAGCAGTTTTTGTTAAATAGATTTATTTGATAAAAAAAGTTATTTAAATCATCATTTATATTTAAACATATTAATTAACATTGATAAACGAAACTACTTAAATTAGCGTATGAAAAACCAAAGTGACAAGGCTATTTCAAGTGAGGGGGGAAGTAATAATGCCAATTACCAGGTGGCCCAAGTAATGGTGGCACTCTCTAAACCGGGTTGAAGGCTTCAAGCCCAGTAATCCCATTCTCCATCTTCAATTGTGTTATGTTCAAAAAAATAAATAAATAAAAAGGAAGAAAAGTCGAAGGAGGAATAATGGGAGTATATAACGTATAGTATGGGTAAGAGGACAATGACAATTTACAAGCAACGTAAGAATCGACTTTCTTTCTGGCAACATTAATGGAAGTCATTGTTGAAACCTACTTTAATTTGTTGTACCGGAAAAGTTTGACAATAATATAGAAAGCATC